AAAATGTTCTTGATACCATTATGTCTGAGATGATTTACATTTTTTGTAGGATGTCGACGAGATCGCCGATAAACAGCGCGGAGTAAAGTGGAGAACTTGGCCAAATACGTCCATTTGCAGGAGGTAGGCACAATTCAAATTATTATTTCGGTCAGAAAATATTAACTATTTTACACCAAATCAGTGATAATATATTTAAATAAGTACCAATTATGTTTCTATCAAAAAGATTTAGGGAAAAAGGTAATGTAAGTCCACTGCTGTTTATCTGAAGTTGCAAACCACAAATTGACGTTTAACTATGATTATTGCATGGTCATTTTCTTGTGAAATATTAGTGCTAGGCATTTCACACTTACCAATGACCACCCCCAAAAGTACCATCTCTGAACCATATAAGCACCTCAGAATAGCCAAAGCTTTTATGGTTTGGTAGATAGCAGTATGGCGAAAGCGTCGTTTTTGGGTGTGGTCGGTTTCGGACGTTTCGTCCCGGATTGGGGTTCGGGCAGCGTTACCATGTTGACCGTCATGGTCAACTTGCCCTAAAACAGTTGAGATTATCTGTCCTAAATGAAATGCATACAAACTCATATACAGGTCCTCGACTACCTAGCAGATTTCGGTAAAATGGTCCCTGATTTCAAAAAAGTTGTCCCTGGCGTGGTTACCAAGCATACCTCATTTGTAAATGGAAAATGTTATGGAAATTTCCTTTGCATTTATAATTAAGTCATTAGTTTTGCTCTAATTAATGCTGTCGGAACAATGAAGTAGGCTACCAACCTCGTTCCCAGGGCTTCAGTGTGAGGACGAGGCGAGACACGAGGAAGCCCTGGTCCGGGCCGGTCACGTGACGTCAAAAAATGGCAGTATTTGACAGCTACTCGTCAAGGAGTGGCGAGATATTCTTTAATGAAATATACAAGTCTTCGAAACAAATGAATAGTCAAAAGACTTCTTAATCGATATTATTTATGTGTAGAGCGAAGTTTGACACGAATCAGCTAAAATCTATGAAGATCCCGTCTATGTTTTCTAAGATATACCGATATATCTGGAGATTTTCAACTACAGGCAAAGCTCTGCATCCAAGCTGCATCTAGGCGTCTCCATATACAAGTGGTGATTCACACGAAATTTCCTTTCTTTCGTCTTGAACAACATGGCTATTGCTATAATTAATATTTAGTTTAAATATGCTCTTATAGATCTGACTTAGTTCAATATATTAAATAAACACAAATATAATACCTCGCGTAACCTGTTTACGCTGTACAGGAATATACGGTTCGCTTGTTTCGCCGGACACCAACACTTGCCGTTCAGGAGCAATGCTTGCCTACAAATTTTATCCCCTTCACAATCTTTGTTTTATTTTATCGTATAGTCGCAATTTTCAAGTATTCGGCGTATTCTGAAACTGAAACACTGGGTGGCGTGCGAATCTTGTAGACTACATCGGCCTAGGCGTAGAGCTATTAATTAAAGACATTAAAGTAAACAGGGCCTAAATTAATTTAGTAGTTTCATTTAATTGTTTGTCTTGCTTTTATTTGTCAGTACAGAATATTGTAAATTAAAATATTACTGCAATGCAATACGCGTAGTATTTCATCAGACATCTGCACTAATAAATACTGTACAAGGAAAACTTAAATAATAGTAGATATTTCTTGTTTTGTCAGGAAACTGCACAGCTCACTTCGACACGGCTTTTGATTTTCAGCTGTAACCGGCCGAGTTTTGTAACCGTGCAGTCGGGAAAACGTCTTACTTTGAAAGATTATTTTGCAAAGCATACTCGTATCAAAAGCATACAAGAATCATAAAAGTACAAATGTTGAATTGTGTTGTAATTTGTTATTGTCAACCGTCAAGTTCAGTTATTTTTAGACAATATGGTGTTAGCCAATCAGAATGCAAAAGTGCCCGGACCAGGGCTTCTCGTGTCTCGCCTCGTCCTCACACTGAAGCCCTGGGAACGAGGTTGGTAGGCTACGTTTCGCGGCCATCGTCAGAATGGAATAACGGGCTAAATATGACTCGTGTTTACTAAAATATATAGCCATATTAAATGCTATCTAGAAGCTTGAAAATTATGCCGAGTCTCCGACTAAGAATGTTTTGACAACACCTTCATGTCAGGCAAATATTTCCAATCTCCTCAGCTATTTAAATCTGTCAACTAGAAACCGTAGTTGTGTATATCAGTATGGTCTGGTGTTGATCACAACTTGCGAGTACATAAATAACATCAACGATTGCTCAAACTCGGTATCGTAAATTTGTATATAAATTTTTTAGTTGAGCACATTTTTAATACAGTTTGGTTTGGTTATGTAGACATTGAACATGTACATGATGAACGAACATTGTCGTAATTATAATTAAAAGGTTACTTAATTGTATATATAAATTTTCCGCCATATTAAAAATACTGAAATCTGCTAGGCGTTCTGAAGCACCTTGAGCGGTGACGTCACACCTAGGTCCCAGTCTCGTACTACATCCACTTTTTTCTCACGCTTGCTTCAGAACGACTGGGACTAGGCTGAAGTAATAGCATAAAAAGAGGCGAATTAGCTATTAAAACGTCCCGCCCGATGAGGGTCGTTTAGTAAAATTCCCTTGGGTGCCGCTCGATGAGGGTCATTTAGTAAAATGCCAGAGGGCCGGACGTTTTCAATAGCTAATTCGCCTCTTTTTATGCTATTACCTTATAATAAATAATGGAAACAATAAGTAATGGTAGAAATTAAATTGTATAATTGTTTTTCATGTCTTTGTTTAGTTTTGGCGATTTCAGATATCTTCAATTATATTCATTTTTTCTAATCGTACACGCTTTGACGTCGTATCGGGTAGGATTAGAATTAATCCTACCTCGGCATGACGTAAAAGCGGGTAGAATTAGAAAAAATTAAATGAATATGATGAGGTGTATTAGTTTTTAATTGCCCTGCGAGAACAAAGGGAATACCCCGACCCCCAATCATGATATTATAATATATTGTAGGAGAAATAAGCCGTCGGGAATGATCCATTATTACTTAATTTCTATTAGCTACTATTGTTTGGAGTGCTCAGAAAATGGGCCCGTTTCATAATTGCAGAGAACTGTAATTCTTAATTTTAGATAATTAGAATATTGTTGTAACATATATCCACAAAATACGATTTTCATTGTTTAAAAATTATAATAGTGTTATGTTTCCATTATAGGGTTAACCAAAAGTTTTGGCCGCGAGGCAGCACTTCCTTGCGTCAGTAACTTCTAGCATTACATTATACCTTTCATATCGTTCCATTCTTCGTTTTGCGTTCGAAATTATGACAGATAATTTCCTCAAATTGTAGTTCCTCGGCTGAACAATTGAGCGGAACTCTGAACCCATACATTCAATACATATTTGTAGACGTAATTTGTAAACACTTGGCTGCTTCGAGCGAGCGATTCAGAATTTGCACGTCGTTTTTAGACCGTGAGAGACATTGCGACATATAATCCTTTCAACTGACCAACTAATTTTCGTATATATGTAGAATATATTTCGACGCATTATACTAAAACATTTTTAAAGTTTTTAATGTTTTTTAAAATCGCATGCTTCGCTCCTCGCCCGAAGTAAGGGTTAAAAGCCTACTTAGGGGGTGGGGTACATTGACACGTCTATTTTGTTCGATTTATGGCAGGCCTCTCTCCCAAAAAATTATTTTTTCAAAACCCATTCGCAGGCTAGAACTCATAGAGAGGCCTGCGGAGGAGGCTAGATCCAATTCGCATTTTCAACCTTTTTTCAACGTCTAAATGACGCCTAAAGTTGACGTCATTTCAACGTTGATCTATAGACATTTGATCAATATCAGGAAATTAACGTCGATACAATTTTCAACCTTTTTTCAACGTCTAAATGACGTCTATGCGTGACGTCACTTCAACGTTGATCTATAGACGTTTGATCAACGTCAGGAAAGTAACGTTAATCCAACTTGCATTTTCAACTTTTTTCAACATCTAAATGGCGTCTATGGGTGACGTCATTCCAACGTTGATATATAGACGTTTGATCAACGTCAGGAGAATAATTATAACGTCGATTCTAAAGTTGACGTCATTTCAACGTTGATATATAGACGTTTGATCAACGTCAAGAAATTAATCTCAATCCAATTTGCATTTTCAACCTTTTTTCAACGTCTATTCAACGTCTGGTATGACGTTGTTTTAACGTTAAATGAACGTCATTTTGCCCGCTTGGAAGCCGATGGTTTTAAATTAAGCATCTTCTGTAAACACTATTGGATATAATGTTTAAATCTTCTTCTGCGTTTTTCTACAGAAATATATTAATGACAAGGCAGCTGTAGATAATTTTAGACATTATTGACATTACATATAGTTATTAAGACTTATATAAAGTATTGCGAACCGAAGAGCCCGCGGGCGCTAGGATCGGGGGCTCAGAGAGGAGAGAAAAAACAAAACAGTGAGAGATTTTGTAAATCAAATGTGAGAGTTTCAATGAATTTAAGTTTAAAATAAACAGTTTTGTCGAGTAGAAATATACGTTTCCGACAAAGTGGCGACCCCGAGCAGGATTTTAGCCGAAAATCACAACAAGAGAGCGAGAAATAACAGCGTGAGTAATCAATAAAAACATCGAAAATTCATGAGATATCGCCGCCATCTTGAAAATGTCAACTACTAACAAAGTAGAAGAGCTACTAAAACAAATCGATGGGAAACTTCGTATGCTAAAATTTACACAAGAGGATACACCAAGAGTTCTGGAAGATCATAAGGTAAAAGCAATGGAACGTCATACAAGGGTTTTCGAAGAATTAATCGAACAGACTCATAAGCTTAAAATCGAAGTTCAACAAATCAGAATTGAGAAGGGAGATACAGCAGAGGAAGTGAGAGAATGGAGTCTTGATATCGAGAGCAAAGTTTCAGGTTTCGAAGAGGTAGTCGACGAGATAAAAGAGACTATTACGAGAGAACATACTAAAGTAAAAAACGAGGAAGAGGAAATCGAAAAGGAAAAACAAAGGTTACATTTCGAAGAAGAGCTTAAATTTGAAGAAACCAAATTAGAAATGAAGCAAGAGTATGAGAAAAAGATGGAAGAAGCCACGCATGAAATCTGCTACAAAAGGTAACAATGCTAAACTTCCTAAACTAGTAATTACTAAATTCCAAGGCACACACCTAGACTGGCAAAGATTCTGGGGCCAGTTTGAGACTGAGATAGACAAAGCCGAGATAAGCCAAATTGCAAAACTATCATATCTGAAAGAACTCCTTGTTCCAAAAGCACGTACATACATTGATGGACTTCCCTTCACCATAGAAGGGTACGAACGAGCTAAGAACATCCTCAAAACAAAGTATGGGAAAACAAGTGAGGTAGGTAATGCCCACATGCAAAGTATTGTATCATTGCCTGTCGTTAAAGGGACACAACCCAAGAAGATACCTGAGTTTTTTGAGTTGTTAGTCACCAACACCCAAGGTTTTGAAACTATGGGTAAACTCGGTCAAGTACATGGGTTTGTCAGACCAACCCTTGACAAACTCCCTGGGATTCGAGCCGACTTAGTAAGATTGGATGATGAGTGGCAGGATTGGGGTTTCACTCAACTGGTAGAGGCCCTGAGAAAATGGTGTGAAAGAAATCCAATCGTAATCGAAGAGAAGCCTGATCATGGAGGAAGTGACACTGGGGGCTCAAAAGTTAAATCTGGTAGATTCTTCCAAGTCAACCAACAACAATGGAAGCCAAAGCCCTGTGTATACTGCAATTCAGACCAACATAAATCTGTAGTTTGTGATAAGATAGTAGATGTGGCTTCTAGGAAGAAAGAACTAGCAGCGAAAAAACGTTGCTTCAATTGTACAGGTCTGAAGCACCGGGCTTCAGAATGTCGAAGTTTAGCTACCTGTCTGAAGTGCAAGGCTAAACACCACACATCAATATGTGATCAAGTACAACAACAACAAATGATGCTCGCAACTGCCAATGGCAGAGTCATCTATCCGGTGGTAGTTGTAATAGTCGATGGTGTAAAATGTAGAGCGTTGCTGGATACGGGGCTGGGAGCTCTTACATCTCAGCTGGTTTGGTTAAGCTCCTTCGCACGAAACCCAACAAAACCGAGTACAAGAGAATTGATATGATGTTATGTTCTACCAGTCAGAAGATAGAGAGTTACAATGTGAAGGTCTCCAATGTTCAAGGAACTTTCGGAATGAATATTCAAGCAAGCAAAGTTGACAAGGGGGTACTGTTGTCTATACCAAACCCACATTACAGTAAAATCATCAGTCAGTATGAGCATTTGAAAGAAGTGTCAATGGACGATAATGACACTAAAACAGAATTACCTATTTCTATGATATTGGGAGCTAGTGATTACTCGAGAATAAAGACCAACACACAACCCAAGCTCGGACAGCCCGGAGAGCCTGTTGGAGAACTCACGACACTCGGTTGGACTATTATGGCAGCTGGCGAAGAAGCAGATCTCAGCAGTGTGTACTTCACCAAATCTTCAGCACCAAATTACGAACAGCTATGCAGCCTGAATGTACTTGGCCTCCAAGATCAACCCAACGAAAGCCAACAATCGGTGTACCAAGACTTCAAGCAACAACTACGACGCAGCGAGGATGGCTGGTACGAAACCGGGTTACTATGGAAACCTAGACATGACGAGCCTTTACCAACCAACGAATCCAACAGTTTGGGACGGTTGAATAATTTACTGAAGAAATTGCAACGCGATCCAGAAATGCTTGACCAGTACCACAAAATCATCCAAGATCAGTTGAAGGAAGGGATTGTTGAGAAAGTAACCGATGATCCCGTGAAGAATGCGTATTACATTCCACACAAACCTGTCATCAGGAAGGCAGCGGAATCTACTAAGATACGGATTGTCTACGACGCATCTGCTAAGGCCTCGGAGAGCAGTCCATCGTTGAACGATTGCTTGGAGACAGGTCCTCCCCTCCAGAACTTGTTGTGGGATGTACTTGTCAGAAATCACCTGAAACCTGTAGCCTTGTCTGCAGATATCAAACAAGCATTCGTACAAGTAAGAATTCGACCTGAGGATAGAGATTCGCTCAGGTTTCACTGGATTAAGGACAAAGAGACGTTGACAATTGAAGTCCTGCGATTCACTCCCCCGCTCTTTAGTCTTGTGCAATCACCATTCTTGTTAGGAGCAACAATCCAACAGCATTTGGAAGTTATACGCGAAAAATATCCGTCGGAAGTTGAAGAGATAATGCGAAGCCTCTATGTTGATGACATTATCTCAGGTGGAGAAACCAGAGACGGTGTACACAAATTGAAAGGAACGGTGAAGGAGATATTTGGACAGGCGAAATTTGACCTACACAAATGGCATTCTAACGTGTGTGAACTGGAGGAAAACGACGAGCAAACACCTACCGTTCAGAGTTATGCAAAAGATCAACTTGGGGTGAAACCAGGTGAAACCAAAATGCTTGGACTTCCATGGGATAAAGTGGAAGACACAAATTCAATATCCTTTCCCCAGAAAACAGCAGCGACTACCAAAAGGGAGATATTACGCTTCCTTGCCTCAATCCACAGGGAAGCTAATTTACAGAGAGGTGTGTGATCAAAAGTTGCCGTGGGATAAGGAGATACCTCAACAACTGTCGACTCGTTGGCAGAAGTTTCAGCAAAACCTTCCCGAGAAACTAGATTTCCCACGAAGCCTGACCAGCCTTGAGGAGCCAATCGAAGCCGTAGATCTACATACGTTCGGAGATTCCAGCAAATACGGAACATCAGCAACTGTGTACGCTGTGGTACATCAAAGGTCTGGCATCAGCCAAGGATTGATCGCAGCAAAATCCAGATTGGCGAAGAAAGAATTGACCATCCCGCGACTTGAACTTGTTTCGGCACATATGACAACTAACTTGGTCGAGAATGCAAGAAATACGCTTGGTGGATACCCTGTCAGATCAGTCACCGGATGGTTGGACAGTACAGTGGCCATGTACTGGATCAAAGGACATGGCGCCTACAAGCAATTTGTTTCAAACAGAGTCAAGAAGATTAACGCCAAGGAATATATCAATTGGAGACATGTGAGAACGGATGAGAACCCAGCCGACCTGGGAAGCCGAGGATGTACGACAGCGAAGTAAGTTACCAGAATCTTGGTTAACAGGACCAGATTGGCTGTCAAAACCCGATGAATGCCAACCGACATACATAACAAGCCTAGCAAAGAGTCTGAAACTGAAGCGAAGCCTATCAAGGAACTGTTGGTAACCGCTGTGTGTGCGATGGATGATCTGGAAGAGCTATTAGAGACTCGTAGCTTTTGGAAGGCAGTGCGTGTCTTCGCGTGGATCGTCAGATTTATCTGTAATTGCAAGTCTTCTAAGGCTGAACGGACATATGGGCCTTTAACGACAGCTGAAACGGAAGCACGAATTCAGTTCTGGGTGAAAAGAGCGACCGAAGCACACAGTGAAACGGAACAGTTCAAAGAAGATAAGTTGAAGCTGAACCTACAACGAAATCCTGATGACCTTTACGAATGCCGTGGAAGAATTCAAGGAAACTTTCCGATATATCTACCTCCAAATGCGCTCATTACTACAAAAATCATTCACAACGCCCATGTTCAAAGCCTTCACGGGGGAGTAGGATCAACAATGGCCTACACGAGACAAAAATACTGGGTACCTCGGCTGAGACAGCTAATCAAGAAAGTCATAAGGAACTGTTATGGCTGCAAGAAGTTCCATACTTCCACATTTCATCACCCTCCTGTTGGGCCCTTACCCACAGATCGAACAGTCGGATCAGTGCCATTCGAAGTCCTGGGCATAGACTACGCTGGTCCTATAACCTATAGATCTAGCAAGAAAAGAATTGGCAAAGCGTACATTCTCTTGTTCGCCTGCAGCCTAACCCATGCCATTTACCTGGAACTTCTTTCGGATCAGACGGCGGAAAATTGTATCAGGAGCTTGAAGCGGTTCGTAGCGAGAAGGGGCAGACCGAAGAAGATCTATTCGGATAACGGAAAGACCTTCAAAGCAGCAGCAAATTGGATAAGAAAGGTAATGAAACAAGAACAGTTTCAAAACTTCCTCACCCGTCAAAACATCGTTTGGCAGTTCAACCTGAGCAGGGCTCCTTGGTGGGGAGGCCAGTTTGAGAGGATGGTGGGCCTGGTAAAAAGAGCACTATACAAGAGCATCGGACGTGCTAATTTGCGAATTTTGCGATGGGGAGAGCTTGAAGAGGTGATCCTGGATGTAGAAATAGCGGTTAACAATCGGCCTTTGGGCTATGTCGAGGACGATGTTCAATTTCCTACCCTGACGCCAAACTCAATGCTGTTTATGCAACCTAACCTACTTCCCGAAGAAGAAACTAGTGATGTCGTGCTGGGAACTGACCAAACAGATAAGATATATCGTATAACACTTTAGGGAGGGATAGTTAATTAGGGAGATTAGTCATAGTAGGTATCAGTGAGTGTCATCGTGACAGTGAGAGAGAACGGATATGAGACAGCTGCGACGAGCATACAATGTGATTTTGGGTATTCTTATATTTTCTATTAAAACTTATATATAAATGTGATTTGTCGAGGACTACTGTTTTGGAGGAAAACATTCTCGACATGTGGCACCTCCTAAAGGGATAGCTGAAACGCCAGTTAACTTATCTTAAGTACGAATCAACGACAAAACGTGACATGGAGAAGCTTGAGACGAAGCTGAAACAGTTGAACCTAGGAGTCCTTCGAACGAAGAATATCTTGGACTCAGGTAAGAGAGAATCAATTAAGCGGCATCTCGATGCGCTACGTGAGACTGTTCGGGAATCAAACGAACTTAAACGAGCTGCTGAAGCGGCAAAAATCGAACTAGGCGAAAGCGTCGAGAAAATTAATGATTGGAACAATGAGACTGACGCTAAGATTGAACTGGCGGACGTTGAAATTGATCAGTTAGAGAGTTGGCTTGCGGAAAAGGAACGTTCCGAGCATCTCGTAGCGCAAGAGAAGCAGTTTAATGTTGAGTTAAAACTGCATGAAAAACGCATGAAAATGAAGGCTGAACTTGAACTAAGTAAGACCGCAACGGAAGTTCAGGAATGCGCTGGATTTAAGACAGCTAAATTACCCAAGTTAGAAATATCAAAGTTCGAGGGTTCGATTATGGATTGGCCTAGGTTCTGGGGGCAGTTTGATGAAGCAATAGGAAAAAGTTCAATCGCACCTATCAGTAAATTTACCTACTTGCGCGAGCTGCTTGGGCCCAAAGTAAAACGCTGTGTTGAAGCCCTTCCGTTTACACCAGAGGGTTATAATCGAGCCAAGGCAATCCTGAAAGACAAATACGGTAAAGAGTCCGAAATAGTGAACAGTTACGTCAAAGAAATACTAGAATTGCCCCATATTACAACAGCAAATCCACGTAAAATCGCCGAATTTAGCGAAAAACTGTCTTATTGTGTTCAAGCGCTAGAAACCATGAAAAGGCTTGATTCTGTGCAGGGAAATGTATCAATGACCCTCGAGAAATTAGTCCCAATTAGGGGAGACTTAGTTCGCACTGACGCTGAGTGGGAATCCTGGGATTTTGTAAAGTTAACCGAAGCTCTTCTCCATTGGGTGAAACGTAACCCAGTCGTATCTAATGACAGAGAGCGTGAAGAGAACACTCGCGATCGTAGAAAATTATTTAATGCGCGGGGCGAAGAAGTTAAGCTAAGGGGCTGTGTGTATTGTGGGGACACTGGTCACAAAGCGACGCAGTGCGAAAAGGTCATCGACACAAGCGAGCGCAAGAAAATCCTTGCAAGAAGGGGTTTGTGTTTTAATTGCGCGACGAGAACACATCGTGCGACAGAATGTTCAAGCAAAGCATCCTGTCAACACTGCAATAAACGTCACCACTCCTCAATTTGCGACCAACGTCAACAAAACGCCGAAGGGGAGCGCAAACTGATGACAGACGGTGTCAGCGGTGATGGTGTTTTCCCGGTAGTCGTAGTAACAGTAAACGGTGTAAAGTGTCGTGCACTAATTGATTCTGGCGCCGGCGGGTCGTATGCCTCAGCCAAGCTGATTAAGATGATTGATAGTAAACCGATTGAATCCAGAGTACAACGTGTTGACATGCTCCTAGACTCGAAGACAACCCGGATGGAATTTTACGACACGGAAGTACGCGCCTTAGACGGAAATTTCAAAATGAACGTGAGAATGGCCAAAGTGGAAACACCAGAACTATTAACTATTAATAACCCGAACTATGAGAAGCTAATTCGTGATTATAACCACCTTGGGAACGTTGTCATTGATGATTGCGATACGAAAGATAGATTGCCCATTCATTTAGTGCTCGGTAACGGCGAGTACGCACGAATCAAAACAAGCACGAAGCCTGTTATCGGCGGCGACCACGAACCGGTGGCGGAGAAAACGAAGTTGGGCTGGTTCATCATGAGCCCCGGAATCGATTTCGACCGCAGTACGATGTTATTAACCCAAACTGAGCACTCGGACTTCGAAAGCCTGTGTAGATTAGACGTACTCGGCCTGGCAGATACGGTGGAGAACGACCAGAATGCGGTTTACGACGATTTCAAGGAGCAGTTGGTGAGGAATCCTGCAGGTTGGTACGAGACCAACCTTCCATGGAACGCTAATCACCCCGACCTACCCACAAACGAGGCTGCGAGTCGTCGACGTTTAACTTCGCTGGTGAGAAAGCTAAAGCGGGATGGAAGTTACGAACAGTACGACGGAATAATTCGTGAACAACTCGAGCAGGGAATCATCGAAGAAGCATCAAACAAACCTGTAGACAAAGAGTATTATCTTCCACACAAGGCGGTCGTAAAGAAATCAGCTGAAACCACGAAATTACGGATTGTTTACGATGCCTCCGCGAAGGAACAGAGCTGCCAGCCGTCCATAAACGAGTGTTTAAACCCTGGACCACCACTTCAAAACCGATTGTGGGAAATCCTCGTACGAGCGCGATTCTACCCAGTCCTTTTAACGGGTGATATGGAGAAAGCCTTCCTCCAAGTACGCATAAAGACGGAAGAACGAGACGCATTACGGTTCTTTTGGGAAAGTCCAGGAAGTGGGAAATTAAGTGTGTATCGGTTTACTCGCGCGCTGTTTGGCCAGACTTGCTCTCTATTTCTCCTTGGAGGAGTAATCAATGAACACTTGAAGCTCTGGCAAGATAAATACCCAGAATTAGTCAGGGAAATTCGTGATAATTTATACGTCGATGATTTGATTACGGGGGGAGAGAACGTGGAATCCGTGGCAGCAAAAAGATCACAAGCAGTTGAGGTGTTCCAAGAACAACTTGGATCGGGAAAATGCGATACGAAACTCTTAGGACTTCCGTGGAACAAAATTGAAGATACCTTGAGCATTGTAACCTCGCCTCGGAAGAATATAGCAACGAAACGTGAAGCTCTCTCGGAGCTTGCAAAAATCTATGACCCCCTTGGGTTGGTATCTCCAACGACCTTAATAGCAAAGATACTTTATCGCGAAATGTGTGAAGCGAAACTTCCATGGGACGGAGAGTTGTGCGAAGCGATGAAACGACGGTGGGAAGAATGGGGAGCCTTGATTTCTAAGAAATTTACCATTCCACGAACCTTGGCCCCAGTCCACCAACCTATAACAGCGGTTACCCTCCATGCCTTCGGCGATGCAAGTAAGTCGGGTGTCTCGTCGGTAGTGTACGCAGTGGTGCAGCAAGGGGAGACTAAGACTCAAGGTGTAGTTTGCGCAAAATCACGGTTGGCCAAACAAAACCTTACAATCACGCGTCTCGAGCTCGTGTCAGCACATATGGCCACCAATCTAGTGTCGAATGTCAAAAGGGTAATTGGAAACTGCGAAGTGAACGGAACTCATTGTTGGAGTGACTCTACCGTGGCCCTGTACTGGATTAACGGACAAGGAGAGTATCGACAATTCGTGTCAAACCGCGTGAGGAAAATTAGAGAGCACAGTAACATCCAGTGGCATTTAATGACGTTCCAACCGAAGAAAACCCAGCGGATATCGGAAGTCGAGGTGGAAGCACAGTGAATAATGAGTTATGGACGAACGGTCCAGAATGGCTGAGTGATCCCGGGACGTGGCCGAAATCCGCGATAATTGAATCCAGTCCAGAAACAAACGCCGAAGCAAAGGTTACGAAAAGTATTCTTGCCACAGCAATAACGCGTGATGACGATCGCATGGACAAGCTCCTCAAAGCCCATGGCTTACGGAAAGTCACCCGAATCGGTGCAAGGGTTAGAAGATTTGTCAACAATTCGAAGTGTCCCATCAGCGAACGTGAAACCGGACCGTTAAAAACAGCCGAGATCCAAGATCAGTATCTTTGGTGGACCAAAAGAGCACAGCAAGACGCAGCGATTAATGGTGAGATCGAGAAGTCGAAGGTACAACTAAATCTTCAGCTGAACGGGGAGGGAGTCTTGGAATGTCGAGGCCGAATCGATGGAGACTACCCTATATCCCTTCCACAAGATCACCTCTTCACTCGTAAGCGGGCGAAATTTGTGAAAATATGGAAGCGAGCTATGCGGCGACGTTGGTCTCGCGAGTACGTAAGAAGTTTACGCGAACGCCATGTTAACGCAGCGGGGGAAACAAGCGACATGCCCAAGAAAAGGATCGACGGTTATTGTGCAGGGCGAAAACAAAAATCGGAACACATGGAAACTCGGGGTAGTCTCGGCGCTGATTAAAGGTAAAGATGGCGTCGTGCGGGGAGCCAAGTTACGAACAGTCAATGGAGAGTTGGAGCGTGCAGTGCAGCATTTGTACCCCGTCGAGTTGACCTGCGACGAAACTAATTTCCGAAAACCCAACCCAACAGCACCCTCTTTCCAACCTAGAGCCACCAGAGACGCAGCAGTTGCAGCAAGACTGCGAATACAGACCACAGTAGCAGATGATGAGAATGAGTTTTGACACCAAAGCAAACGTTAAAATAATTTAGTTTTGTTATAGGTAGTCACCACAAAGAACATGGATGGAACTACAAAGAAGTCAGTCCCAAAGGACATATAACTCTTGATTGAGCAATATGGAGGAGTGTGTTGGGAACTGACCAAACAGATAAGATATATCGTATAACACTTTAGGGAGGGATAGTTAATTAGGGAGATTAGCCATAGCCTATAGGTATCAGTGAGTGTCATCGTGACAGTGAGAGAGAACGGATGTGAGACAGCTGCGACGAGCATACAATGTGATTTTGGGTATTCTTATATTTTCTATTAAAACTTATATATAAATGTGATTTGTCGAGGACTACTGTTTTGGAGGCAAACATTCTCGATAGTCGAAGGCGTAGAGCTGAGGAAACGAGCAAGGCATTTATCGAAGTGCAAGGACGCGGTATGGTCTCGATGGACAAAAGAGTACATAAACGGACTGAGAGAACGGCACAATCTGAACAACAAGGGGAAAGAAGTAAGCGTTAAAGTAGGAGACGTAGTTTTGATCCAAAACGACGAACGGAATCGAGGAAAGTGGAATGTCGGTATCGTAGTTAAGCTTATAAAAGGAAAGGACGGTGTAGTAAGAGCTGCGAAACTCAGAGCAGGGAAGTCCTATTTGGAACGCGCCATTCAGCAGTTAGCCCCGATGGAACTGACATGTGATAATCCGCCAGTAGGGCCAGAAGAGAAACAAGCAAACTTGAATGTGAAAGCGAGAGAGTTTCGACCGAGAAGACGAGCAGCTGCAGCCTCGGAGGAACGAATCAAAAGTATCGCTGAAGAAGATGAACTTGAACACTAATCGAACAGAATCGGAATCAAATGGGTGGAGAGTGTAGATAATTTTAGACATTATTGACATTACAGATACTTTTGATACTTATATAAAGTATTACGAACAAAAGAGCCCGCGGGCGCTAGGATCGGGGGCTCAGAGATGAGAGGAAAACAAAACAGGGAGAGATTTTGTAAATCAAATGTGAGAGTTTCAATGAATTTAAGTTTAAAACAAACAGTTTTGTCGAGTAGAAATATACGTTTCCGACAGTTTTCGTAGCCACAGATTTTGCGGCTTTAGACAAGGCAGCATTACTAGCATTGTATGCTTTATAATGTAATGGTGGTGGCATGTTCATGTAGGAGCAAAAGCGTTTCATCGATGCATGTCCTTGTCCAATACTTCTCATGGCATAAACAAATCTTCTGTTAATGTCAAAAGAATGTTGAACCTTCTTCGAAGTATAAAAGGTATAAACCCATCCACAATCTTTACACCGTACTCTAAGATGAGAAGCACTGCCTTGTCGCTCACGTGGTTCATCCTCTAAGACAAGGCATGAATTTCCACACTCTTTTCAAACCATCTGAGTAAAAAGTTCACCAAGCAATTCCATGTCAATGAAACGGTACCCGGTTACATTTGGCTTGCTTTGGGTCCCAAGTTGTGGATTTTGGGTGCCTATTTTTCGAGCAGAAGCAGAAACGGTATGATCTGTTCCGGTCGATGTCGATTGCTCAGACAGCTCAGTGGTATCATTGTTTACACTCTCGACTACACGAGGTTTCTTAGCAGAATGTAAGAATTGATTGCCACGAAATTTCAGTTTTCTTGGTCTTGAACCTTGTCTTGGCATTGTAAATATACAATTTAATAAGAATCGAAAAACAGCTATACCCAAACCCAAAAATACCCAACAGCGAAAAACACAAAATTTACTTGAAGTTTGATCACCAAAATGAGCTTCAAAGCGAAAGCTCACAAATTCCAAAACAAATTTTCAGCGGCTTTTTCAAATAGGCAATATGCTCTACTTCATGTAATATATGCAAAATAGTTACAAAATGGCGTCTGTGTGGGTTTTTATCACTGAGCTGTATAATAACTGGAGGACCTGCTCCTATACTTCGTTCAGTCAACCAAGTGAAGCAAAAAACATGGCGGATTTTGAGTGAAAATGACGCCATTTCCATGACTACTGGTCCCTAAATTCATGGTAATTGCCACTGAACAAGGCTCAATTGTGAGCCCGCCACAGTTTTCACACCCCCCTGGTTTCTGCAAAAAATATTTCGGATTTTTGCAGTGAATTCTTGTTGTTTTGTCATTTTCGACATATTTTTTCGACGTTTGACCATTTGTTCAAGGATGTGAAAGTCGTACACGTTATTCTCGTTCGCGAAAGACAACAAACAACTATTAAAACCTCCCAAAATGTGGACAAAAACGATATTTCAAGCCGGGCTATAAACAGCAGTCTATAAACATGCAGTCAGCTATAAACAGGTAAACATTTTAAAATTCACATTTTTATTTTAGTATTTCATGAAAAAATGTTAGGAATAAATGGTAAAATGTACTCTATTTTTTAGAAAATAAGCCACAAGTGTTTATGTGGTTGTAGATAAACCTTTTTGTATTTACTGTATTAACTTTATGCAATAATTTCATCCCTCGCAATATCGAGTTGCACAGTACATGTATATGAAGAGATAAACTATGATGTGCTGGTGTATTAAAGAGGAAATTAAGGTTTTATATATTTAGCCAAGGGTTTTGCTATGCACGAGCTTGTGGTGGACTGGTGCAGGACAAAGCTCAGCTGCCTAGTAGGGGCAGCTGATCTGAGAAGTGAGAAGGAATGTTTTATATCCAGGATTGTACATTGTAGTTTTAATATGTGCTATCTGATAGTTTGTTGTATGTATCTTTAAAAAGCCATTAGCTTGTTTGCCCCATCCCTCAAATATCAAGTTAATTGTCTCTAGTTCTGCCATATTGCAGTAAGCGAGACTTCACTGTGTGGTTATTTTAATATTTTTATAGTGGAAATTCCTTTCAGTTTGCATGGATAACCTGACTGGCTCAGTTTCAGATCTCACTTAATTGAACAAGACAAGATCTCTAAATGGTTAGACAAGATAACACTAACCTGACTGACTTGGTCAAAATGAAGTCAAAACAACAAAATTGGTCATGAAAATATTGTCAAAACAATAGAGATGCAGAATTTTCCAACAATGCATGAGTCCATGCCACTGTTGTTTAACTGCTAATGAAACTCAGTACCATTAGCAACATGTTTGTAAATTAAAGATTCAAAATCTTGATTAATTTGGTATTATTTTTATAATTAAACTTGGTCAAATAATAATTATCAAATTAATAATTATAACTGTACAATCAAGTTACATGTGATAGAGTATTATTATAACTGTATCTCCATGGGCTATTCTTTCATTTCTTTGGCTGTTCTCTGTTTTGATGCCTTGGGCCACCGGCCATTTCTTGTAGTACATATAACACATGCCCAGAACATTTTGGAGAAAAGTCATTGTTAGTTTTTCCAGTTACGGTAGGTCTGGCAAGTGCCACCTTACACCACTATTCTTGTTATTTGAACATTCCAAAGAACTTGTCCACATGACTTACATCACCGGATCACCCTAAATGAGAAAGTTCAATTATATTTATACAATAGTGACAGCTAATGTTATTTTCTGCGGTTCGCAGATTAGCAGAAAATTGATGTTTCCACGGTTCATCAAACACGTGACTGCCATGTTCATTGGCAGGGCGGCAAAGTGGTCATATGATTTGGGCAGCTCATTCTAGTCTGGCACTCCATCAACACACACAAATTTTTTTACAAACAGTACTTTTAGTATTTTTACATTTATTATAAACCATTAACAAATCAAAACGGGCACAATGAACGAAGAATTGAGAACAGAACTCCAGAAACAACAGGAGTCTATGCTGGAAAAGCTGTCGGCCGTCATGGATACGAAAGTGGGCCAGATGAAGCGTGAGCTGGAAGAAGTGGCCAACAAAGCACATTCCTCGCAAATGACAGAACTCAAGCGAATGAAGTTCTCGGAGCCGCCGTCTTTCAAGAAGAAAGGCCACGAAGTGCAATACAAACATAACGAGCGAGTAAAACTTTGTATCACCGAGGCAGAGGACGCAATCAAAGACAAGAAGCTAGACACGTGTCTCGAAAAGCTGAGCGAAGGTAAGGAGCAAATCGAGTCGAGACAAAAGCTAATTCTTCTTGCAGACAAATCCGAGTATGGGTGGAAAACCGTATCAGAATATCTCGATAACGAGCTTGCCGACGATGAGGAGGACGATGAGGAGGACGCCAAAAAGATCAAGAAAGCCGAAAAAGAGGCCCAAAGAAAGCTTAACGAGACAAGAAACGCAAAGAAAACTCGCGCCAGCAGTCGCGGTGGATTTTCCTGGTCACGACGAGGATCTTTCAATGGCGGACGATCCTGGGTTTCCCCGTATTTAGGGCCACATCAACAGCCAGCACCATCGACTTATCCCAACAACCATCTCTACAGTAGTACAGTTGGAAAGAAACCAGGGGTCTGTTTCTCGTGTGGTGAAGCTGGCCATTGGAGCCGTGAATGTCCTCTAACCACCGGGTTGTCGACTGAAGTACAGCAGAGTGGAGGCGCCGTACGAAAGTTAAGTGTAATTTCGTCAGATTATGAGGGGCTAGACGAAGATGTAGATTCCTTTCCCAATGTGTTGGGCGAGGATAGTGAGTTAGAGCGCTTTGCACAGGACAATGATACCCTGCTTGAGGAAGGGGAATTTTCCCAAGGTGATCCCAATCAGGGCCATGTGGGGGGCAGACTAAGGGAACACATTTCATCTTGGGAGGCTCTACAACCTCCTGAGTATGTACAAGGGTACATCCTTCCTTTGACTACAATACCAGAACCCCGGATCCTTCGGAACAACAAAACTGCTTTGGAAAACGAGTCTTTCGTAACCGAAGCTATCACCGACTTATTAGCTTGTCAGAGCATAGCTATGGTGGATCTCCCCCCTCTAGTGGTCAACCAATTTAGGTTTTCAGTGGGTTTATAACGGTAAGCCCCAATATTTTTTTTTTTTCGGGTTCTGCCCTTTGGGCTGTCTACTGCACCTCTGGTGTTTACTAAAATTTTAAAACCAGTACTTCGACATTGGAGGTCCTCAGGTAAAAGAGTCTGCATGTTTCTGGATGATGGCTTAGGGGTAGTTCATCACTACAGAGTGCCACCATAGTCTCACAGGCAGTCAAGAGAGATCTGATTCAGTTAGGGTTCCTCCTCAGCGAGAGTAAGTGTTTTTGGGAACCAATGCCGATACAAACATGGCTTGGCCACATTTTTAATATGTCGCTTAATCAGTTGTTTGTTACCGAAACACGGTTACAGAAATTGGAACAATCGCTAGATAACATCTTAGGGTGCCCCCAAAAAGTAACGGCGAGACAACTGGCAGCAGTAGCAGGGCAAATAGTGTCCATGTCCCGGGCCATAGGCCCAAAAGTTTATCTGTATACACGCCATATGTATTTCGCTATAGAGACTAGGGAACATTGGGGATCCATTTTGTCATTCAATTCTAAACTCACAACAGAATTACAGTATTGGGTAAGCAATGTCCACACCCTTAATGGTAGGAACATGTTCAGAGAACCACAGCATTTTGACACCATCGTGTACTCAGATGCCTCAGACCAAGGGTATGGGGGCTATGCGATTTCCAACCATCAGACACTGGTCTGTCAGGGACACTGGTTGGAAAGCGAGAGAGGGAAGAGTTCCACTTGGCGGGAACTTAAGGCAGTACATAACATGCTGTTAGCAATAGGAAAGAACTTATGTAATCACCTGGTTCAATGGTACACTGACAATCAAAATATCATACACATTTTAGCTAGGGGCAGTAGAAAACAAGAATTGCAGAGTTTAGTGGAAGCAGTGATAGAGTCAAGTAGTGGATTTGGTATTCAGATCAGCCCAATTTGGGTCCCAAGGGAGGAAAACCAATTAGCAGATTATCTCAGCAAACTGTCTGATGGTAACGATTGGGGCATCCACCCACATATTTTTAATTGGATCGATTCCATGTGGGGGCCATTCACGGTAGACAGGTTTGCTACCTGTTATAACACCAAGTGTGCTCGATTTAACTCGCGTTTCTGGAACCCGAACTGTGAAGGGGTCGATACTTATACGATAAGTTGGGCAGGGGAAAACAACTGGGTAGTTCCCCCACGTAATCAGATTATCAAGGCATGGAAACATTTCCAAATTTGCAGAGCACGGGGAGTTTTAATAGTACCTCTATGGAGAGGGTCAACTTTCTGGCCAAGCATATGCCCAGACGGCACTCATTTAGCTCAGTGTGTGACAACTTCGGCCGGCATCCCAGAGTGGAACCACCCAGCCACAGTACCTGGCAGATCCCATAACACCGTTTTCAAGGGTGATATACTGCCCTTCAAATTAATTGCACTCTATATTGATTGGCAAACATGCAAGAAAAGGACATCAAACAGAGGTTTCTGTATGACTCCTTCCGGTATGTGTACAGAATGCATATAGCTCAGCATAGACTTCTGGGGATGGTTTCTTTCACAGGTGGTTGTCATATCAAGCCTTAAGTTTTTACAGTCCACAGGTGACTATTTTCCCACAGGTGGTAGTAATCTCAGGGTATTACAGAATAATTTCAGGGGATTCCCACCGGCGGATAGTCCCAGAAAGAAAGTGAATTCGTTAATGGCTCAGTCCCCCGTTCTTGACATCGGGTTTTCGTTAAGCATTGGCAATATTTTTGTGCAGGAATGGGTCGGATCTGTTAGATATTGGCACTCGCGAGTCCCAATTTATGCTATTTTAGTATACCTATATGCTTTCTTTGTTTTCACAGGCTTAAACTCGTTCGACCAGGGGTTTTGGAAAGAATTACAGCAAAAGACGTTATCCAGTGGAGAAACACACCTGTTTGAGTTACTTAAGAAAACAGCTCTTCATGCTAAAGCAGAGGGAACTGTCACAAACTATACATATAGTTTACGTAGATGGATAGAATTCGCTAGAGTTAAAAGTTTCAATGTTTTTCCGGCATCGGTTATAGATGTTTCGCTGTTCATATCGCATTTATCCTCTACTTACAAATCATCCTCAGTTATTCAATCTAGTTATTGTGCCCTTAAATGGGTTCATGATATTGCAGGTATACATAACCCCATGGAAAACAAATTTCTTCAAAATTTGGTGGAGGGTGCCAAAAGAGAGCATGCCAAACCAGTTTCCAAAAAGGCTCCTGTTACCAGTGAGGCGCTAGAGGAGTGTTGTACAAAGTATCAGGGTTGTGACACACTCACAGTGCGTAGAGACATCTCTATGGCATTGCTATTGTTCGCTGGGTTTCTTAGGTACAACGAGATTGCAGACCTCAAAATTCAAGATGTGGTCATCTGCGACACTCATTTGCAACTAACAATAAGAAAAAGCAAAACAGACCAATACAGGAAAGGCAATGAACTGGTCATTCATAGGTCGAACAAAATTACCTGCCCAGTACTTAATGCTTCCATCAGTTTAGATCACAGTGAAAATTTTTTATTCAGGCCGGTAACCCATACCAAAGCAGGGTACAAGCTAATCGACCGAAACAAACCCCTTAGTCAAACTAGAGCACGGGAATCTATCATCGGCAGACTGCAGGAGTTCATATGAGGGAGACGCCAACATTTCCTTGCACTCATTCAGATCAGGGTGGGCTACCAAAGCAGCCAATGCCCAAGTGTCCGACCGCTGTTGGAAACGACATGGCAGATGGAAGTCTGATACAGCCAAGGACGGTTGCGTAGAAGATTCACTCGACAATCGCCTACAGGTTTCCAAGGCACTAGGGGTTTGAATTTCCATGCTCTGACCCTTTCTAACTTTATCCAAGTCTAGTCGGGTGCAGCAGCCAGCAACCTTATTAGAAACGTTGAAATTGTTGTGTTATTTCTTTGGGTTGGGGAAATGGGGTAAACATGTTATTTTCTGCGGTTCGCAGATTAGCAGAAAATTGATGTTTCCACGGTTCATCAAACACGTGACTGCCATGTTCATTGGCAGGGCGGCAAAGTGGTCACATGATTTGGGCAGCTCATTCTAGTCTGGCACTGCATCAACACACACAAAATTTTTTACAAGCAGCATTTCACCAGCAAAATTTACCAAAGGTTTAGGTTCTTGGGAATGCTTACATAGGTCGTAAACAGATTATTTAGAGTTTAATGTTGTTAGCTAATGCTTGTACGTTGGTCAATCTTACACCCTCGAGATTGTTATTTAGAGCCTGAATCTGCATTCGGGAGGGTCCAGGTTTCCCCACAGTGGTTTTTCCTGGCGGGCAGCAGGCTCACTTAGTAGTATTTGTAACGTTTAGCGATTAGATAGCCGAGAACATTACACAGGGATGTGTTGTATTAAATAGGAGAAAAAAGGAAATAAAGTTAAGGTGGGCGGCAAGCATTCTTCTAGTCGGGTGCAGCAACCAGCAACCTTATTAGAAACGTTGAAATTGTTGTGTTATTTCTTGGGGTTGGGGAAATAGGGTAAACGTATCATTAGAACACACTTTGAAGAAATAGTAAGTCTCATATACCAGGCTCCAATTACAGGGAAATTTACTGTAGAGTAGTTAGACATTATTTATATGTTAACCCATTGAGCATTGGTGTTAGACAAAGTAACACTAACATATAAAGTAGGGTGCAATGCAATTGAACCCATTGACTGGCAGCACTCTCCACTTGACGAGTAAAATCGTCTGGCATTAGACAGAGTAACATATTGTAGCCCTAGCGCATTGCCACTTAAAGGATTAAAAATGGGTTCATTACAGGTCAAATAAATTGATTCAAGCATTTTTCACATATGAGTTCTGGCATTTATAAGCCCTAGCTTGCAACCAACTTTAAAGCATACAGCAGTTAATTGCACCCAAGCTTATTATTTTACTCTCAGACAGTCTAATGCCTGGCAATTTTACTTGTCAGGGGGACAGTCTTGTCAATTAATTGTATTTCTTAACTCCCCAAAGTTTCATTTTACATTTAATTACATTATATCACAAATGATCTTGCAGATCTAAGAGAGAAGGTTCACAACAATCACAAATAATATGTCTAACTGAAATGTTGAACTCTACTCCAATACTGGAGACACCACCACTGAAACCTGAAACTGCTCTCAAACATGTCATCAACCAATTTAGGTTAATTGTCAGAGCATAATGTTGGTCAATGCCAAGGTGACTGGCACACATACTGTGCACCTTTCATTCCTATGTTACCTCTAATGACTGTGGGATTTATAGAACTCTAACAAACTATGTTGGGCGAGATGAGTATTGGAAACCTCTGAATATAAGCCGGCCCTGGGCTTGTATTCTAATACGTATGGCTAAGCTGCATTAATAAATATACCTGGAGCCGGTCGTATCAAGTCAGTTTAGCTTAATTATATTAAACATTGGTTAAGCTCAAAATAGAAAGCAAGTCTATAGATTCTAAAAACAACACGGCAGAGTCATGCAATGAATTCTTTAACTTACTTTCAATAGCCTATGAAAAAAACTTTCCATTAAGAAGAAAAGTAGTAAAAAGAAATATTGACAAAACCCGAAGCCCATGGATGACAAAATGTATTGCAAAATCAGTTAAGCAAAAGAACAAGTTATATAAAAAATACCTTCAATGCCCTACAGAAAAAAGGAAAAAATATACAAACAATATAAAAATAAACTAAATCATATGATAAGAGCGGCAAAAAAGAAACATTACGAAGAACAGTTAATAAAATATAAACATGATACAAAGGTACTATGGAAAACATTAAATGAAATTACGAATCGAAATAAAAAGTAGTATGTTACCAAAGGAATTTATTGGAAATAGTCTTGGAGAAAAAATTACCGATCCAAAATCAATTGCAAATAGATTCAATGATTATTTTGTAAATATTGGCCCAGGACTTGCGAAAAAACTTTCGAATAGCACAACAAATTTTGATAAATATCTCACAGGTAATCAAAGCGATTGCTACAGAAATTTCTGAACCACTTTCACACATATTTAACTTGACTTTTCTTTCTGGAACTATTCCTGATGATCTAAAAATAGCTCTAGTTACCCCTATTTTCAAAGCAAACGAAAACAATGAATTTACGAATTATCGGCCTATATCTGTTCTCACTTGTTTTTCTAAATTATTGGAAAAGCTTATGTATAAGAGGTTAATTAGCCACAAAGAAAAAAAATAAAATATTAACACAAAATCAGTATGGTTTTAGGGAAAATAGATCTACTGAACTTGCAATCATTGAACTTGTTGACAAAATCACCCAAGCAATCGATAAAGGAGAATACACAATAGGTATCTTCCTCGACTTGTCAAAAGCCTTTGACACAATTAATCACAAGATTCTGATTCAAAAACTAGAACACTATGGTAAACGCGGAATAACAAGACAGTGGTTTGAAGATTACTTAAAAAACAGAAAACAGATTGTTAAATATAACCAAGTTAAATCAAAAGCAATGATAATTAAAAGTGGTGTCCCACAGGGGTCAATTCTTGGACCAATTTTATTTCTTCTCTATATCAATGATATTGAAAATTGTAGCAAATTAATTTCATTTATATTATTTGCAGATGACACTAATATATTCTATAGTAACAAGTGTCTAAAAACACTTAATAAGATTATGCAAATTGAAATTGATAAAGTTGCTGAATGGTTAAATGCGAATAAGTTATCTCTAAATACTACAAAAACAAAAGTAATATTATTCCGATCTTCAAATAAAAAACCAAAGCAAGACATTAAAATTAACATTAATGGTAATAATATTGAACAAGTTAAAAATACAGTATTCCTTGGTATTGTCATTGACGAATGTTTGACCTGGAAAGATCATATAGCTAAGGTAGCAAAGAAATTAATTAGAGCTGCTGGTATAATAGCTAAAATACGACATTTCGTGAACCGAAATACTGTAAAACTGATATACTATGCATTAGTCTATCCATACTTGATTTACGGCAACCTAACATGGGGTAATACTTACAAAAACAGAATTCAAAAAATAATGAATATACAAAAAAAAACAGTGCGTTTAATGGCATTCAAATCTTACTTTGATCACAGTGAACCAATTTTCAAAGATTTAAATATCCTCAACATCTTCAAAATCAACGACTATTTAACTGCTTTATTTATGTTTCGATACCACCATCTTAATAATTTACCAGAATTTTTTAAAGATTATTTTGTGACAAACAACCAAATTCATCAATATAACACGCGAACTGCATCAAACCTTCACAAATGTTATAAAAGAACAAATTATGTAGAACACACTCTCTCAAATAAAGGAGTTGACGTATGGAATTCATTAGAAACAAAATTTATAGATATAAATTTCTACAGCACTTTCAAAAAGCAAATTAAACAATATTTTTTACTATACAATGTATAAGATATGCTATAAAACATTCTGCTATGACCAATTTAATAGTATATTGTAGTCTAATTCTTATAAGAACCCAAATGCATCTACAACATTGGTATTCACTTCAGATATCACTTCTATAATAAGAACAATTTCTCTTCTTTTTCTCTCTTGTAAATATAATATATATTCCTTTAATATTGTGATTGACTGTAAATAATTTATTACATCACACAATACAAAACTAGCATAACTAGAGCACTTCTATAATAAGAACAATTTCTCTTCTTTTTCTCTCTTGTAAATATATATATATTCCTTTAATATTGTGATTGACTGTAAATAATTTATTACATAACACAATACAAACTAGCATAACTAGAGACCTAAATAAAAAGTCTACTAAGATTTCTAGTAGGTCTCTAGCCCGCACTCTACAATTATTGTAAATATACTACACATAAATTTATTGTACATGGGGAAAATTTTTAAAATAAAAAAATAAAAATTCATTCAACAACCAAACTAAAAGTTTTGAACCTTAATAGAATGATAATGTTTACAACTTACTACATATTCAGTGCAGAATAGTTAAGTTGACTGATTCACGACTCACGAGAAATTAAGCTAAACAACAGGTGGGAAATTTGTCTGAGCATGCGCGAGCAAAATGAGTCACGCAATTGAGTGGAATACACGCAACGCGTGTTTACAAAAAGGCACAATCGTGCAAATATTGCCAAATGTTTGTACAAAATAAATGACTGTTTTATGTTGAAAATGGACATGATCTAAATTAATCATACAGAATTTTTTAGTGACGTTCTATTTCAGTACCCTGCCATTGTCTCTGGTGGGCTGTCCGTGTGCATTCGATCTGAAACAGTTGCTACTTTGCTGTCGAAGAATTTCGAATGTTTACATGAAAATAGAGGCAAGTCATGCATTTTACAACCTCTCAAACTGTATGAGCCCCTATTTTTACGCTTATACCTAAGATATCAAATAAAAGTACATGAAACAGAGAACAATTGTAGAAAGTTTTATCGTGAGGCCACGGCCAGTTTTAAAATATCTTTATTTCTGTTCCGGTCATCACCAAAATTACACTAAAGCCGGGCTTGAATATACAACAAATTTTGAATCTCATCAAGTACAAAAATATTTAACGTGTAACCAAAATATGCTCACGAAATCGAAATTAATAGCTAAATTTTCAAACTAGACCCTTCTCGAAGCGGTTTTGACGAAGGAAGTTCACATTTCGGCCTTTGATTCTTGGCAAAAATTTGACCACAACACGTGCGAAGCAACTGGGTCTCAAAGACTGAACTAAAACATTGTGAGCCCCTATTTTCCTGACGAAATATGTTTGATACCTACAAACGCCGAAAAGTTTTTTCTTTTCATTTAGCTATATTTGAAATTGAGGCCACGGGCTATTTTTGAGAAAGTACAATTCAAAGTCAAGCTATTTTTACATATTTTCAAAATTTGTCAAATTTCGCGAGCTTGTATTTTGAACTTAGACAACTGAAGTTTCATTAAGAAACATAGGATGGAAAATTTGAGGCATATAAAGTTAATTTCAACTTACATTTCATTCTCAAATCACGTCTTTCTTCTTTTATTACGATTTTAAACAAGCCGTAGATCGACGTTACGGTGTTTACTCCCATGTTCACGTCGCCATATTAACTTTTTCCAATCACGCGATTACAAAACAATCATCCCAAAACAAAGAATTCATGATCGACTTTTAAAAGAATAACCAATAATTTGTAAATTGTTGAATGGAAAGCAAAAAATCGTCAGCTAAAACAGCTTCTTGCTAACTTTCTGCTTTGTTTTGAATGTAAATGCAATGAGCTTTGTTTCTGCCCGCAATTTTTTGGTCAGCGACGACAAATTTCCCACCTGTTAAGCTAAACAGGCTTGATACAACCGGCCCCTATCAAATATGTCATGGCCAGCCAAAAGCTATAGTTTATGGTAACTGCTTGATTGCAATGGGTATTGAATGGTTTGAACCTGATGTCTTTGGCCTATAGCTAGCAAGGCATTTGTTCACTTGTCTGCATGTTGTGTAAGTGAGATTTAACATAACTACACAGTAATTATAAACAACTGCTGGCAAGAACCTGGCAAGGATATCACTCAAAGTTTGTCAAGGAAAATTTAATATACTAAAATACTAAATAAATACAAGTGTGCAGACAGAGAACCGAGGCTAGTGCCAAATCAAAAGAACAATAAAATTTACAGAATTGCCAACCATTTAATACAGGTTATGTCTGCTATTAACTTGCTGTCCATATGCTTTTATGTTCGTAGTATAAACTTTGTAGTTTGTACTTCTGCTAATCTGCTTCAAATGTTCTAGAATATATAAAATTCTTACCGGTGAATAAAAATATTCTTCTTGTACATCTCATACATCTACGAGCGGCGCAAAAAGGCAGGATCCTCGACGTTGTAAATCAACCAAGTTATAGGAGAAAAATGTCAAGATTTTCAGTGCGATTTTTACCTCAAAAACAAGCGAAATCTGTGCTGAAACCAGGGGGGTGAAGTACATCGTCGAAAGCTTAGGACCGCGGTTGGGACAGTGGTAGTTGCCATGAATCTAGGGACCAGTAGTCATGGCAATGGCGTAAGATCTGCCGTGTTTTTGGCTTCACTTGTTGATGCCGAGCAGGTCCTCCAGTAATATAGTATAGCTCAGTGGTTTTTATTCGGTTTTTACGACCAAAACAGCCGTTGCTAAGGGCGTTGTTAGGGCAAAAATATGCCAAAGGCTTAGGAATTTTCTCATTTTCTTGGATTTCAAGCTTTTTTTACGGAATAAAAACCCACACATATGAGTTAACAACAGTTTATAGTATATAAATATGTGTATTTTAAAAATTCACTAATTTCAAAATAAGTCAAATTTTTAGTAGTGGACCACCTTAGGTGGCTCAATACAGTTTTTGAAATATGACAAAATCGTGATTTAGATTTAATTTTTTGAAGAGAGGTTTCTTGTTAGAAGACAAAAATTGTACCACATATATTGAGCAATCTTCTAAGATTTAGACAAATATGATAGCGATAACAAATTTATTAAAGAACGACGTTTCGAAGTCATCTTGACCTCATTTTCAAGTTCAAATTATAACAGAAAACGATTAAATTAATATAAATAGCTTTTACATAATTGCGCAAGCAAACTAATTCGTCATACATGATAGTTGCAATTTTAAACTTAATTAACATAATTAGATATAAATTGATAACAAACAATTAAACAAACAATAAAACAACACTAGACGAACAATTATGCTAATATAGAATGTTAAGTAAATAGTTTTGAGCGTATCGAGTCCGATTGTTTGTTTAAACTAGGTTTAAGATCTTTAATAAATAACATTTCATAGAGTAAACACTCGAACTTTCCCCGACATTTTCTCAATACCTTAAAGTTTTTCCCGATGTTCTTTGCGTCCTCGCCATGCTGTTGAACCATATGTTCTCCGACAACCGATGACTTGTGTTCATCAATGCGTTGATGTAAGTGTCAGCAAGTGTAACCGACATAATCTGCGTCGCACAGATCACATTTGAATAAATAAACAACACATTGCTGATTCACAAGGGGTGGTTTCGTTTCTGCTGCTGGGAAGTCTGCGGCAATCTTTCTGCTTGTGTAGACCGGTTGTATTTGTCTACCGATGGTCTTGCTGAGGTTACGCAGCTGTCGCCTCACCGAGTCTGCTGATTTCTGGTCTTTAAATGGTAGCATTACACGTACCACGTTTTCCTTGATGTTTCTTTCCTCGGCTGGATGATCGTCGCTTTCGCGTTTCTGTTCAGTGTACTTCGTTATGATGTTGTCAAGCAGGGATATAGGATATCTGAGACGAACAAAGGTTTTCTTCAGGCGTTCACATTCCTCGGTGAAGAGCTTCCACGATGATGATAGGCGGAATGCACGATTGAGCATGGTCAGGACGAGCGATTTCTTATACCTCACGTCTACATGACTATCATAATGTAACATAAGGCCAGTGTTTGTTGGCTTGATGTAGACTTTCGTTTCTACTCGACCGTTCTTATTAATTAGGGTTGTGCCCAGGAAAGGTAATACACCATCGGTCTCTAATTCCATAGTGAACTGAAGGGATGGATGCAGACTGTTGAGGGTGGATAGGAATGCTTCTGCGGAAGCAATGTTGCTTTGCGATGTGATGGAATCATCAACAAACCGGTGGTATAAGGAAGGCATCAGGTTGCGTTCTACCAGCTTTTCCTCAGTTGAACACATGAACGCGTTCGCCATGAGTGGACCAAGTGGGGAGCCCATTGCAACTCCGTCGACTTGCTCGTATAACTTACCGTCGATTTGGAATAGCTGATGTTTAACTGCTAACTTCAAGAGTTCGACAAGTTCAAATTTCTCAAGCTTTAGGTTGTATTTCCGGTTGAACCATTCTTTCTCAAACGCTTTGTCGGCACGAATTTGGATCGTTTCATCAACTGGTACATTGGTGAAAAGCGATGCAACGTCATACGATACTAGAATGTCACTCTCAACCATTTGTTTCTCACGTATCTCCTCAGCAAACTTTAGTGGGTCGGAAACGGTGTACTTGTTAATCGAAAGGAATTTCAATTTCTCATCCAACCACTTGGTTAGCTTGAAATTGTAAGTTCCCGTTGCTGATAGTATTGGTCGCATTGCTAGCTGAGGTTTATGGGTCTTAGGTAAACCGTAAAGGTGTGCGAGGCGGGAACCTTTTGGGCAAATCGAGTCAGCTATTTCTTTGGGTAGGATCTTTCTAAAGGCGGTCTCGAGCTCTTTTTCTTTTCTAAGTAGGGGCTGGTAATGTTTGACAGGTCTTCCTCTCGACTTTGGTCTTTCCAAACTCACGCTCTTGAACTTTTCCGTGTTGTTGATCGATGCTTCGTTTAGCAACTTGGTGTATTCGGACTTATCCATTACGACAACCCCTGTTCCTTTATCTGGTTTAGTGATAACGATATCGTCTCGTTTCTTAAGTTGGTTTATCGATCGAAGCAACGTCTTTGGCGGTGATGTATTTCTCCGTTCAATATAGTTCAGAGCAATTGATCGTAACGTTGCTACAGTTAGTTCTTTCTTATCCTCATCTAAGTTGTGCTCAAGTGTTCGGTACGCACTTTCAAAGGATGCTTGTATATCCTTCGCTGACACAGGTCTAGGAATGGCAAAGTTTAAGCCTCTGCATAGCACGAGCTTTTGGAAGAATGTTAGTTTAAACGAAGAAATGTTTTTAATATGTTCATCAACATTGGTTGCTTTTGATAGCATTCTAGATATTTTTCGCGTATGAATCGTCATTACGCGTTGATACAAATCCTTATTGAGCCTGTTCATGACACGTAAAATGCATATGTACCTCAGTGTTGAAGATTTCCTCTTTATTTCCTCATAGATATCGATAACTTCCTTTCTATGCGCCTTTATTTGAGTTTTCTTTTGTAAAATCCCTTCTTTAACCACGGTTTCTTCGAAATCTTTCGCAGATTTTTTTTTTTTTTTTTTCGTCCTTTAATAAATTTGTTATCGCTATCATATTTGTCTAAATCTATATCAAAAAGTTTATTGATAAAAATCTTCTAAGAGTTGAGAATTGTTCACAAAAATGACGTCATTACCGTTGCTATGGTAGCCTGCGTGCAGGCCCAAGGGAACTTGATAGTGGGCCTGCAACCATCGCCCGGTATTTTGAAATACGCCCCTTTTCATAACACGCCTCATTCGCGCGTCAATTGTCAAAAAAGAACCAATGACAGCACCCAAATATTAACAAACAAACTCGCATTAAAATGTTGCGGGGTTTTCTCTGCTTATTCAGAACACTAATAAACAATGTGTAAATGGCTGCGTTTTAACTCCAAAAAAAGCAAGCAACGCAGTCAGTAATTGCCAAATTTGCAAGTGCTCATTTTCAACTAAAATCGGAACAGGCAAATTAGGACGAATTTCAACAGAAAACCAGTCTCAAACTTCAAATCATGAGGGAAGTCGTGCGACCACATTAGGATTTATATTATGTGTGCTTCGCTGTCGCCATTGGCATTGTTATAAATAAATTGTCCCACTTATCAGATCGTGTGTGCAATTCTTGTTGGCGGCGGAAAGTACGAAATTTATTTCATTTGGTAAAGAACTCTACAAAAGAAGAGAGCGTTCCGAGACCAGATCGTTTCGTTTCAAACGGCAATTTAATACCGCCTTCTGTTTCGCTCTCTCAGCGAAGCCTTGTAAATCGCAAAGTGTTTCGAATAGGCTTACAGTCCTTACATGCAACTGCATCTCAACATCAACCAAAAGATAATTTTCTTGAGGAAGTGAGAACATATAACGTATCAACTGAAGTCTGTTTGAAATTAATGAAACTCAAGTAAAGGTTACTATAGTTTACCCCAGTCGTAATGTTGCTATTCCAACACCTCACGACAAGCAATCCCCATTGGCATAACGGCAAAAACATGTCTTCCTTCAAGTAAACAATAAACAGTCTGTTCTTGTTCCATTTGTAATCGAAAAAAGTGATCAATTTTCAAATTTTAAGCTTATCGAGAGCCTTTGTCTATGCCTTTGTGATGAATCACAGTTCCCTTGTGCCTGCACAATGGGCTAGGTTAATTAATTACCGATCGCCTCAGCTAGCCAATGGGAATTTAGCCGGCGGTTCGGCCGGCGAAAATCGAAAACATGGGGTGATGGTTGCAGGCCCACTATCAAGTTCCCTTGGGCCTGCACGCAGGCTATTGCTATGGTAACAATGACGTTTCAATATGGCCGACATTTTACCTTTTAACACATTTTAATCGAAAAAAAGGCCGGTTACCCCCATTTTTTATTTCGTGAAACGTTTTCATTTAGAAAAATGAATGATATGAACAAGTTTAAAAAAATTATGTAGATCAGAATTTTTAAAAAATAAAAACGTGATTTTTCATGATAAATATTTTTTGGATCAACAGAATTTTTTTAAACTTGTTCACATCATTCATTTTTCTGAATGAAAACGTTTCACGAAATAAAAAATGGGGGTAACCGGCCTTTTTTCGAGTAAAATGTGTTAAAAGGTAAAATGTCGGCCATATTGAAACGTCATTGTTACCATAGCAACGGTTATGACGTCATTTTTGTGAACAATTTTCAACTCTTAGAAGATTGCTCAATATATGTGGTACAATTTTTGTCTTCTAACAAGAAACCTCTCTTCAAACAATTAAATCTAAATCACAATTTTGTCATATTTCAAAAACTGTAGGGAGCCACCCCGTCTCAGGTTTGAGGTTTGATAGATAGTGGGCAAACTTCCACTATGATAATTCTCGATAATTATTAATTGTCCTACCCTCACAGATGTCAGCAACTGGATGTTAAAGATCCGGTCAGAAAGAGGAAACAACGTTATTATTATATTGATAGGAAATAAAAGCGATGAAGAGACGAAACGGCAGGTAATTGATTTTAAAGTGGCGGTGGATTCCGTTTTGCTCATGCGCATGTTTGTATAGTTTCAATTATTCAATCAAATATAATTGAATTAAAATTTCAATCTGTGGTGATATGCACCATACGCATTCAAATACAATAATAGAAAGTGAAATTGAACAGCTACAATCATGCCGCAAAAAGTACGTGGACAATTAGCTGAAAACTAAATACTGTGAATGTTCATATGGACATATTGGCATGTTTGGATCCCCCCGTACCCCCATGCAATATTGATAATGTATTTCACAAAGCTTTGCCTTAACCAATGTATTAGCATTTCACAGCATGAGCCCCACCTTTGAATTTACTACACGAGTAAATTCTTAAACACGTCCGAATTTATCATTATGATAAATTCGCAGCACATTTTGAATTTATCATAATGATAAATTCGCGGCATCTAACCCCTAACACTAACCCCTAATCCTAACCCTAATCTAACTTTTTAAACTTTTTTGAAAATCTAACTTTTTAAACTTTTCTTTTTAAAACTTTTTTAAAACTTTTTTAAACTTTTCTTTTGAAAATCATGAAAATCTATAATGATAAATTCGGACGTGTTTTTAAACACACACAACGAAAGAATTTACTCATATAGTAAATTCAAAGGAGGAGCTCATGTTGGCATTTCAACATTGAAAGGGTGGAGGGACTGCTAAATAAAAACGTCTGCGCATGCGCGTGTACTAGAAAAAATGGCGAGGAATTTAAATGCCAAACTGTAAACAAAAACATGGCTATTTAATTATTTAAGGTAAGTGAAACAAACAAAAAAATACACTAGACGGGTAGTTTGGACATTAATAAAAAGTTTTCTAACATTTAAAATCTAAAAAGAAATCTAAAAAGAATTTAAATTAAAAATTATCGTTTTAGACCAGGAGGCTTGTGAACATTTCTTGAAAAATTGTCGAATACCGAACTTAGAAAAGTTAAAGAAAACTATAAAATAGTTAAGCATTTGCACACGATTAAATTGTAGAGTAAATCAATATATCATTACCCTTAAATATAGTCAGCGCAACTGATTATACATGCTACGCAAAAAAAGTTATTGAGAAAAATTTCAAAAAAAGATTTCAAAATTGGTTCCATGTAATAAAATTGGTTCCATGTAGTGAATTTCAAAAGCCATCAGGATATATCATCTCAGATTATCTTTATTCTACTTTAAGTGTTAAAAATAAGTTAATGCATGCTTGAAATTAATTTTAAACAATATAGATTGTTGTTAATAATAATATTTTATTGTCAAAGAAACCACTTGGATACGAACGACAAGCACATTCAACAGTTTTTCATTAGAAAACAGTTCTCTTCGATATATATATAGGTGCCGTACGAAGAAGCCCTTATCAAAGCTGAAATGATGAACATTAGCTGTATCGAAACGAGCGCGAAGACTGGGGAGAATATTAATGAATTACTTCAAATGATAATTGGAGAAATTCCACAACAACAACCTTGCTTACATGTTGTCAGGAACACAAGGAAGGAGAAAATCTTACTTGGTGAAAATACTTCACTATCATTGAACCAAAAATGTTCTTGCTAATAATTCCAATACAAATACATATTATATCAATGATAAATTTTGAGTTTTATATGCATTTGTATTTCAGTATAGATATTATTGTGAATCACCCTAACTACGATCGAATAACTGTACTATATTTTTACAATAATATGAAAGAAAACATCGAGGCAGTACTGATTCATGGTATGTCTATTAACTGTAAGAAAGGTTTTTAGCTTCTAGCTTAGTACCCTTGGTCCTTTATTATTCCTAATATATATTAATGATCTTCCAAACTGTACCAAAAATTTGAATTTTAGGATTTTTGCAGATGACACAAATATTTTTGCTTCATCAAATAATGGTGCTGAGTTAGAAAAACTAATAAATTCTGAAATAGATGAAGTAAAGAGATGGTGTGACATCAATAAATTATCAATTAATTTTAAGAAAACAAACTTTATGATTGTTAAATCACCATATAAAAGACAATTAAACATAACGATAACATTGAAAGGTACAAATAACTCAATCCATGTGATCGAAAGGAAAAACTATATAAAGTATTTAGGTGTATTCATTGATAGCACTTTATCATGGAAAAACCATGTATCTTATATTTGCTCGCGCCTAGCAAAATGTACTGGTATAATTACTAAATTAAGGCATTATCTTTCTCTGAATCAACTTAAGCAAATTTACTATACTCTTTGTTACCCTTATATATCCTATGCAATTTTAGCATGGGGTAATACATATTATTCACATCTTAATAAACTACAAACAAAACAAAATAGAATAGTTAGGCTAATGTTTTTTGCCAAAGTATATGGTAAGAACACTGAAAGTGCTCTGCCATTACTGAATCTGCTAAACTTTTTGTCAGTTGATGATGTATTCAAACTTCATGCTCTTCAATTTGCTCAATTATGGCATACAAACCAGTTGCCATCTAGTTTTGACAACTGGTTTAGATTTGTAACCGATGTGCATTCTTACAATACAAGGTATGCACAAAACCAAAACTTTTATAAACCACTTGTAAAAACAAATATTGGAAAGAAAACCATTTCGTTTGCTGTATGTAGTATTTGGCAAAATATTCCATCATCGTTTAAGTTCCTGAATGCTTTCTCCTTCTCAAAAAAAAAGTTAAAGAATATATATTATTCGAACAATATGAAAGTTAAATGATTATTCTTTTAAATTTTATCTCCAATTTTCCTTAATTATCTCTTTGATAACGAATCATCGGAACACTGCGGAATCGTGACGACATAGTTCATTGTATTAAATGTCAACTTGTAATAGATTGATGGCTGACATGATAACCTTATGGTTAATTTAGCCACCAATTGATTTTATTTATGAATAATATTTATTAATTGCTCATCATATATATATATATATTACCTTTGTAAATATTTATTATTGTAATTAAGGAGTGTAAAAATAAAGGTGTTGTTGTTGTTGTTGTTGTTGTTGTTGTTGTTGTTGTTGTTGTTGTTGTTGTTGTTGTTGTTGTTGTTGTGTTGCCAAAGGGTAAAAGCGGCAGCTTTCAAAACCCCTTTATCATATTATAGTCAATGATAAGAATTATCAAAGGGAAGAATTCGCCACGTATTATATTAATATATTACACTGGGAAGACAACTTAAAATTCCCTGGTTAATCTAACACCGCGGAGAAACGTCTGCGCATGCGTCAACGTTACCTGTAATAGTATTGCGAACTTGATGAGAAGCTGTTCCGAACGTTTCCGAAGGCTCAAAATGGCGGTAAAAAGGAGTGACTTCATTGTGCGTCTTTACAGCCAGATTTCAAGCGCAAAAATAAACATGTCATTCTAAAAACTAGAAATAAATACAGCCAGAAGGTTCAAGAATTTGTATTGTACAAGAACATGAACTAAAGGTGATTGTTGACAAATTTATCGTCTGAAACATTTTGTTTATCAACTAAGCAACGATAATTTCCGAATTTTCGTTTGAGATACATTTCTTTAAAAAAAACTGTGTCGCCAAATATAAAAATTTGCGTGTTCACAATAATTAAACTTTAGGATTTATTCTACAATTTGAGTGGGTTAAGAAGCTTAACTTTTCGAGAGTTTTCTTAACTTTTTAGTTTGAATTTTTGTTTTGAATAATTTTGCAAAAATTTTCGAAGTCGTGTCCGTTAAATCAACAATTTTTTACATGAATTATATTTCATTCCATACTTTAAATGCCAGGACGCTTTCAATTAATGTCTAGTCTACCCATTTGCTATATTTTCTCGTTTGTTTTGCTAATTTTTGACCAATTAATAAGCATGTTTTTGTTTTAGAAATTGATATTCAAATTACCCGCCATATTTTCATAATTTGGTGCATGCGCAGACGTTTTTCCGCGGTGTTGGTTAATCTAGCAAACAGGGTGGACTTCCGTCTACGCATGCGCGAGAAACGTAAGCGTTGAGTGCACGTGAGCGCGGGTTAATCGCGTGACTGAATTATAAAAACAAACATCAAATTTGCCAAAACTACTCGTGTTATGAAGTCGTTTTCTTGTTTCTTTAGTGTTTCCACGCTCACAATTTTAGGCATTTCCAACTTAGAAGTGTTTGCTTTGGAATAAGAACGTGAAAGTAGAAATAAAAACTTTGTTGCAGCAGTTTAATTTCGCAGTGCAAATATACCTGTTTTTAATATGTATATCCTTTTCGACAGTGATTTAGTACTCGGTAGTGTAGTTGTTGTTTATGAACAAAAGTCTAAAATGAATTCAACATCCGTCAACAAAAAGGAGTCGCGCTTATTACTACTCTGTAGAGGATAGACAATTAATTTAACTTACTAGGAACCCGTTCTACAATATAAACTAGAAATCGGCCAACAAATTGCCGCGAAATACTACAATGAAAATAGGGTCTCTGAACTACCAATTTCACCAAACGGTCAAGTTTCTCTGCAAAGATCGCCCCTTTGCCCAATTTTCCTCGAGTAGATAATCGTGTTTTTAAGTCAAGGATTATGTATACTTTCACATAAAAGAATAAAAAAAGTGGTGATAAAGGGTAGATTTTAAATAAAATACGAATATCTGTATACAAGATCTGAGTGTTATTATGAAGCACTCGATACTTTTTCCAACAACATATTGCGATTAATTTTTTACAAAATTAAAAATATTCACACATTAAAGATATGAAAATGTAGCTTGCATTACAAAGAAATGTTGGCTTACCTAAGGGACCGGTCATTATTTATGGCGGGGGGTGGCACCGAAGAGAAAAAGGTTGGGTAAACAAAATTGTGAGTAAGTAAAAGGTTGGGTAAATGAAAAACAAAACAACTCAAGGGTTGGGTAATAAAAATTTACTGTCATTTCCAAAGCATGACCCACTGAAATATTGGAGACTGAAAAGCAATGTCAACAGTCATTTGTCAATACAATATGTGAATCAATCAGAGTCACTATCTTGATCATAGTTTGACAAAACAAATTGTGTTTCCAAAGAAAGTACATGTGCAGACAACATGAAACTTTAGACTGCAGAAAATTTCACGGGCCGTTATCAAACTCATGTCACTGAAATGATCAGGACATGTATGACAACTGAATGGTATCCTTTTGTTAAGTTTTTGGCCAGGGGTGGGTAGTTATTTTTTAATTGATATTTGAGGTTGGGTAATCAAATTTTTGTCTTTTTAATGGTTGGCCGGTCAGCAACATTTTTGACACGGAAAACATTTCTCTTCGGTGCCACCCCCCGCCATAAATAATGACCTGTCCCTAAGTTATACCTTACACGTCGATTAAAGTCAAGTAAAGCCCTTTCAAAGACGCGTGTCACATTAAACTACAGGTCACATGGCGGTAGAGAACTCGACGAAGTATTCAGGATATTTCATAGCCAGTTTAAACCCTGCTGTGCTGAGGCAGTACAAGGTCTCAAGGCCAGGTCAAGTTGTCGATTTCGTTACATTTTACAGTACTTCGAATGTTTTCGAACTCTTGCCTCATACAAGAGCAGTAAACGCACGCATTTCAAAGCGAAATTAGACGCAAAGGGGCAATTTTTCAACAAAGTTAATTGTTAAATTATGTTTCCTATGTGCCTTGGGAGCAAAAAAATATGATTTTAAATTTGGTGATATCGGTAAAGTTTTTTTCAATTTGGCCTGGTGCAATACCAGGCCAAATTGCGAAAAAATTTACCGATGTACTGACTGTGCTGTAAAAGTAATCAAATATACTATTTTTAATTTCCCTTCATTGAAAGGATCTACTATTGTGGACTAAACTAAATTTTAATCAACATACAAGGCTGCAAACAACAGCCAAGAATTAGCTGGGTAGTTTGCAAACTTTAAAAATAATTGGACCTCAAACTTTGATCTCCAGAAGTAAGGGAAGCCTCACATATCGATTTTGTCCATGAGAAACGTCATATGTTCGTTTCTCTGGAACCCCCCACCCCCACCCCCCACCCCCCTTAGAAACGTCACACATAGTTATCGATATTTTGTTCTTTTAATATAGTACACATAAGGTAATTTTCTACTATTTTTTTCGGTCGGCTATTGGCGATGCTTCCGCGAGGAATATGTCATCTTCTGGTGACATACTCTTTTTTTATTAATATATATGTAATCTTCAAAATTTCCAACGTTTCTCAAAACAACTTTTTTGCCAACCTCGTTCCCAGGGTATTTGCTCTTGGGGAGCGAAATACCCTGGTATGGGCTGGTCACGTGACCCGCGGATTTTGCGTAAAATGGCGTATTGTTTACTAGGGTCGGGGGAGTGAGTATATATTGTCACAATTAATTAGATCGCTCTATAAATATAAACAATATGCATTGAATCTTCAAAGAAATCGTGAAAAGAACTGCAATTAAAAATTAATATTTATCGTGATGTGAATTCTACTCTATAATCTAGTGTCGAGTTACAATTCAAGCAAGTTGGATCAGATTTCAACTTATAGACTTGTCAGTGCATTACAACCCGCACGAAAAAAATCACAGCGTGAACCGCACTTATATAGTGCGGATCACGCTGTGATTTTAGGCTTCGCCAACACTTTGCCTGAAACGGCATACTTCGAAACCCGGACCGGACTCGGACTCGGACCCGGACTCGGACTCGAAGAAAATCCGGACTCGAGAAAAACCCGGACCCGGACTCGAAGAAAATCCGGACTCGTGTTTAACAAAACCCGGACTTGACTTCTGAAAACCCGGACTCGAAATAGACAAAACCGGATTCAAAACAAGGACTCTGTGCAAGAGAATGCAAAGGTTTTATCGGTAGTAACTCGCGGATAAATGGATTTGTGCTCTTGCGCGTGTGCCCCGGCTTTCTCTTCTCGCTTTTGTATATAATAAAATACTTTATTTCAAAAGCAATAAGCTTTGGTTTCGAAAGATATAGATATTTTTTTCTTCTAGTGACTCAGTGTTATGCGTTATCTGAGGATACTAATCAGTTATCAACTTATCATACTATATGGTTCCCCACAAAACAATCACTATATAGCCTACCTAAACAAATCATTTAGCCTTATACATACTTGCTTACTTACTTAATTTAAAAATTTATTTAACATACACAACATATTTGTAAAATACATACTCCTGCGAGTAGCTAAATCTACCCTAGACATAAATTAATAACTGAAATCTGACTCAGCATAGCAGACTCAACGTGATCGATGGCGGCAAGGGTAAAATATATCCTCAACATATTCGACCTCACTAGCTATCGGCAAAATGACACGAAAAATAACTAGACTTCAACCAATCAAAAGTATAACTTCAACCAATCGAAAAGAACGCCGGAAAAGTACATCTCTCGTTGAAGGCAATGAAGGTATCGCGGCAACCGCGCCTAAACACCAACTGTGAAGTAATTCGAGCGTTGTTGTGCGGATGGACATAAAGTTGATATTATAACATGCTCTCAAATAGTTGGACAAGACGCTCCTGGAAACACGTTTATTTTCTCTATTTCGTTAATATAAAGTCCATAAACACGAATTGAACACCCGCAATTATTCTTTATCCGAAAGTAGTAGAAAACACATCACAATGAAAGCAACAGCTGCAAGCCTGCACCCGCGGCCGACAGTGAAATTCGCGTTGGATGGTTGGCGTAAATTTGATATTGAGACTCTCTCGTTAGGCAGTGCGTTCGTCGATTGCCCCATATGCCTTGCATACAACCGCGGCTCGATACTGACAATGAAGTTTGACAATAAATCAAGTTAACGTTATTTTGAGAATCAACAATCAACATGCTACCCTCGTACTAGCTACTAATTGTAGATCGTTGTGCATCAATACATTTTAGTTTTTAATAACTTATAAGTGCCTAAATGATTTGGTTCCAGTATATCTAAGTGATTATTTTGTTAACAGCAGAAGATTAAAAATATCGAGATAAAGATATGAGATCATCGTTTATCACGTTACTAATTATTAAACCTTTCCAAAAAACCTTTGCATTTTCGTACACAGAGTCCTTGATTTGAATCCGGTTTTGCCTTATTTCGAGTCCGGGTTTTCAAAAGTCAAGTCCGGGTTTTGTTAAACACGAGTCCGGATTTTCTTCGAGTCCGGGTCCGGGTTTTTCTCGAGTCCGGATTTTCTTCGAGTCCGAGTCCGGGTCCGAGTCCGAGTCCGGTCCGGGTTTCGAAGTATGCCCATTTCTTATTCTATGTCCAGAATTTTGGACGAACAAAAACACAAAAACGGCAAAGCCTAATTATTTTCTACGCGAAGGGAAATAAGGCTCTGCTATCAGGGTACCCCTGGACGTGCACCATTTTCAATATTATCAGGGTGATGAATGCTTCTCTCAAGCGCACTGGCTAGGACCATGGCGTCAGCATTTTGATGATGAATTATGCCAAAATCATAGGAAAAACCAAGAAGTTGGGCTTCTGTATTCTGTGGTGAAGGCACGTGGACTAAGCAATGTGTTGTCCATACCTAGACATCTGTGACCGTCTCCCATAAATACAGAGTGACAAGAAAATATATTAATTAAATATATTTTTTCCAGGGCTCATTTTGATTTTAAATCACGCTTCTTTGCTTGGAGTATAGTCATTGAAATTTCTATTGAATACTCTATATGTTGGGGAGGGGTGGTGTTAACATTTTTACGTAGAAAAAATACTTTTCCCATTGGCCATTGTCTTGTTTGGAACGTGTTCTTAAAATGTCTGTCACTTGGTCACGATCAATGTTCATATTGTTTACAACTCGATGTATATGCTTTATATACATTGAGTTTTTTTCAAAATATTTTATTGCAAAGTTTAGGCACTGCAAAATCATATTACCGCTATAGTTTGGCGCAAGCGGGTTTAATGCAGCCTCGTACCCAGGAGCAAGGGACACGACTTCCCAAGCACCCCCATGCGCTCACTCATCTAAGCCACTGATCTATATTAAAACACTGTAGTGTTGCCATTTTTAGTACGTTATTTGCGCCGGGGTACGAGGCTGGGTTTAATGCTAAATGGGTTAAGTTAAATTGTTATTTTTCTAACTTATTTTGGTCGAATATTCTTTTGGTCCAATATTCTATATAAAATATATATGTTTGCTTGTTTTAGATTGTTGTGTTACATTTTTTTCCACCAAGGGGGTAGTAATATTGTGAAATATGGCCCCAAATAGCCAAATAGTAACTGATAATAACATTCAAAAAGTCCCTCCCGCCCCTTCCCCCTCTCTGTGTGCGATCCTGATTCAACTTGCTTTCTTTAATAGAGAGCTTCAGACTTGTTGTAAAAGGAAGTGAAACAATAATGTTTGGAGAACTGAATTTTGTATCAAGACTATAATACAGTTTAAAAGTGTCTTGTTGGAATAACTAGAAGCGAGGAGTGTGAGCAGGGACTGCTAAGTTGCCTTTTTCTGCGTGCAAATCCCATGATTTTATCATACCTTCACAATCGAGGCCATTACCAAAATATCTTGAATTACACGTGCATGTGTAGAAAATATCAGTATCATGACATGTGGCATTTGCATGGCAAGGATTTGACTCGCACGTGGCAGCTAAAATGCGAAAGAAAAATCTTAGTTATATGCATGGATGCAAATAGAACTATGAGCATAGGCAGCCCAGCAAAATGTGTAAAAATGCATTAAGTGTGAAGTTTGTCTCAATTTGCTATATCAAGCGATCTATTTGTGTAGCTCATTATACATGCAGATTCCGATGTTTACGTCATTGTATTTTCATAATATACCTTGAAATACAGTGACGTAAACATCGGAATCTGCCTGTATAATGAGCTACACAAATAAATCGCTTGACAGCAAATTGAGACGAACTTTATACGTATTTTAAGCGTTTAATACATTTTTACACATTTTGCTGGGTTGCCTATGCTATGAGCTGAAAATATCAAAATTGTTTCGAGGTGAAACCTCGCCGCTAAGTTTCAGACTCGAAACGCGAAGTGTTTTTTTTCTTTCTCAGATAGACCCTGCAATGAAAATCAGAAATCCAACCCCCCTGAATTAATTTAGTGTTCAATTATTCTTCATTACTATGGCTTGGTTCAGATCGTTGGTTCAACACTTCAATATATAAGAATGATATACCTTCACTTGAAAGACTAAGGCTGTTTTTCACCACTGCAAAGTCGCCAAGTTTTCCATCAGATGTACCTTGCTGCAATTCTGCCAGAGGAAAATTCGTCACTGATTTGAACTCGAGGGTAAAATTAACAAAAACACTTCCTTGTCTACAGGAAAGAAACAAAACAAGACTATCATGCGGTGGTGCCTTTTTAAGGAATTTTCACTTGGAGAGAGGTGGGGGAGGGAGGCAGGCCGCAGGGGAGGGCGAAGGCAAACGTTTTCTTCCAAATGTATACGAAACATGCGGGCTGGCAAGGCTTGACCAAAGGTGGGAGGTATATATATGGAAGGGAGGAGTGAATTTATAACTTTAACTATGACTTTAAATCCCTTGGAAAATCACATTGATGGGCAGTTCAGGGTCGGACAATTTACCCTCGTTATATAGTTCAAAAAGGCTATGCAATCAAAAGTTATAGCACATTGAAGTCAACATTACTACGATGAAACAGATTCACAAGCTAGGGAAGCACACGGTTCTTATATAGTAAGTGAGAGTTAAAGCCTGAGTACCGAGGCTGTTAGCCAGATACAGCCTGAGGGCGAAGCCCGAAGGCTGTATTTGGCTAACAGCCGAGGTTCGAGGTCCTTAACTGACTTATTTCATGATTGAGGAGGTTTTCTCAAAAGAATATATAATTTAAGATATAATTTCTATAGAAATTGTTGTTGTTCAGTGTAATTTGTGAACGAAAATACTGGGAGGTATGCGGACTTATTGTTGAGCTAAATTAGCGAACAGATGGGTACAAAAAGAGATGAAGATCCCAAGGGAGCTGGGCTTTCAGCTATACGCTAGTTAATTTATTCTTATTTTGTCCTTCTACATGTTTTTGTAAAATTTTCTGGCCTCATTTTGACGAATTGTCTGAGACTTTTCACTGTCAGGATTAACAGCCGAGGTTCGAGGGCTTAAAAGAAAATTAAAGCATCGCAATATGAAGCGAAAGCGTGTGGAACATTACTATATAAATGAAGAGTGTCCCAGTCGATGTTTGGTTCGTTGTGCAAGAAATATGTGGGGAAATGCAGCTCAGAAGCCATAGCGAAAGACCGAAAGTGTTCCGATTCAGATATATATAAAGGTACAAATAAGTTATTTAGTTAGTTTTATCATTTATTGTAGTTAATTTCCATTTTTAGCTTCAGCTGAATTTTCTGTGTTTTAGTTTGGTTCACTTCAAATCCAGTGGGCTACAACACACTTGGAGGGGTAGTTAATTAAGAGGCTTTGTCGGGATGCTGGAATAGAAGGCAACTTTACAAATCACAGTCACAACCAATACAACTAATAGCGAGTGTCGGGAAGTCCGTGAAAAAGCTGAAGAGGAATTAGGAAGCGAAGCTAACAAGAGCGAAGGTGATAGCTTGAAGTTTGAACTATATTTTCAATACATTTGTGTGAAATAGTGTTAGAAATGTTAATCGAAGTGGTTGTAGTGTAAGTTCAATGGATTATCAATTCATGGTCTGTATCCATGCAGGTACAATACCAGAACAGTGGGCTGTATTCGGATACAGCCCAACATTTCCGGGCTGTATCTATATACAGCCCACTTATTCATAATTATCTATTCAATTCAATTCATCAGCCCCGCTCTTCCCTGCTGAATATCAAAACCCTCCCCGTGCTTTTAGACGGTTGGCCTAATGACCGATATTTATGTTAAATACAGCCCGCGGAACTTCAAAGAAAACCGACTCAATTATGAAATAATATAGATGCTGAGTTTTACAAATGGATTTACCTATCCGAAAACTCGCTTCGTTACTTCGTAATACATACAAGCCAATCTGGATAGTGAAACAGTTTTCTCGCACATGCATGGGAGAAAAACGTCTCGTGTAAATTTTCCAATCGTGCACATGACTTCTAAAAAACTTTTAAAACATCCAGATTAACACGTATTTCGATGGAAGAAAGAATTATCTCAGAATAGATAAACAACTTTGTTCATGAATCATGGGAAGTGATTTTATTTTGTATTGTACATTTGTACTTTCACTCTTTTCTATAATTTGTTTTAACGAAACTCGCTCGCTCATTATTGCATTCGCTGTGATAACAAATTAAAGGCTCCTTTCCACTAATCGTATAAACACTAACTCGTAAGCTTGCTGCAAGTACATGCATACAATCATAATGCTTGACAGTTTTAATTGATTACATACAAGTACCCACGGCGATCTTGCGAGTTGGTTTTTGCAATGAGTGGAAAAGAGCCTTAATTAACGCATGCGAAAATATCATAGGTCAGCACTTCCCATGAAGAAATCTTTTCTCTATTGCTTTACTTTTTATCACGCTATATGAATCATATCTTAGTGATCCACTGATCCTTGTGCATGTGATTATTTTGTGTTTACTACTGTCTATATATATACTCCAAACCAAGCGGTGAACAATTAATTTTACCTGAATCCATTTGTCGTGACATGAACAAAGTTACTGTTATTTGAATACATTTGACTAATCTAAAAAATTGAAATAAACTTAGTGGAGTAATTTTCAAGAAAATTCAAATGTTGAGAAACTTTGAACTGACCAGGCTTTCCAAATTGCTTCTAAACGATATATACTCCACACTCTCTGGATCTTGAAGATACTCTGGGAACGAAATATCTAAGATAATCTGTGCTTGATGTTTCTCGGCTGCAAAAAAACCAGATTAAGCAGTTCTTTGACAACTGAATCATTATTTGAAAATACAAACACATTAAACCGTACTTGGAGCTGGGGTTGTAACAGCCTCACTTGTTGTCGTTTCTGCTGCTGTTGTTTCTACTACTGGTGTCGCTTCTATTGTTGTTTCTTGAGTTGTCGAGGCTTCTGTCGTTGTTGCTTCAATTGTGGTTGAGGCTTCATTTATTGTTGCTTCGGTTGTTGTTGCTTCAGTTGTTGTTGCTTCAGATGTAGTTGCTTCAGTGGTTGAGCCTTCAATTGTTATTGCATCAGTTGTTGAGGATTCAGTTGGTGATACTGCAGTTGTTGTTGAGGCTTCAGTTGTTGTCAAGGCTTCAGTTGTTGCTGCTGCTTCAGTTGTTGTTGGGGCTTCAGTTGTTGTTGAGGCTTCAGTTGTTGTTGAGGCTTCAGTTGTTGTTGGGGCTTCAGTTGTTGTTGGGGCTTCAGTTGTTGTTGGGGCTTCAGTTGTTGTTGGGGCTTCAGTTGTCGTTGAGGCTTCAGTTGTCGTTGAGGCTTCAGTAGTCGTTGAGGCTTCAGTTGTCGTTGAGGCTTCAGTTGTCGTTGAGGCTTCAGTTGTCGTTGAGGCTTCAGTTGTTGTTGAGGCTTCAGTTGTTGTTGAGGCTTCAGTTGTTGTCGAGGCTTCAGTTGTTGTCGAGGCTTCAGTTGTTGTCGAGGCTTCAGTTGTTGTTGAGGCTTCAGTTGTTGTTGAGGCTTCAGTTGTTGTTGAGGCTTCAGTTGTTGTTGGGGCTTCAGTTGTTGTTGGGGCTTCAGTTGTTGCTGGAGCTTCAGTTGTTGTTGGCGCTTCAGTTGTTGTTGAGGCTTCAGTTGTTGTTGGGGCTTCAGTTGTTGTTGAGGCTTCAGTTGTTGTTGGGGCTTCAGTTGTCGTTGAGGCTTCAGTCGTTGTTGGGGCTTCAGTTGTTGTTGGAGCTTCAG